CAGCGCCGGTAGGCTGCCGTAGGTGAACCTTCAGCTCTCCACACACATGGGGGTGCAGAGGACTCTATAATGTTGAGTGAATACACAGACGGTTGCAGCCGCCGCGTGCTAACGCTCCTGATAACCCGCCACTATCTGTACGGGGAATAATCGGCCCACATTACCAGTGTAAATGAAAGAGTCCCAGAGAGACCCTGTGTGTGTGAGGGGAGTTTACCGGCATCCCAGTCTACAGCAGGGTGCATCTGCAGCACTGCTACAAACCCAGATAATAAATATCTATTATAAATATCATTATTATTGGGCCAATCTCCCCCAATAACAGAGTCTGGGTGAAAGATGGCACAGGGGACTGAGCTGGATATTGGCAATATATCAGCATTGATTATTGAGAGTGCTGACAGAGAGAGGGAGGCAAAGTTAATAAAAACTAATAAAAAAAGACAAGGAATACAGAAAGAACAAGGGCTCTAGCTGGATCAGGCGATTGTTCGCTGAGGGAAAGAGAGGGGAAGGTGGAGGTATGAAGGCAGTGGAGATAGTGCTGTCGACTCATGGCTTCTGGGCTGTTTTTCCTGTCTCAACACATGTATCTCCGTACGCGAGTATGTATCTGAATTTGAGTTTTATCATTCCCGGTAAGGCGCGTGGGACCTTTTTTGTGCGACTGTGAATTGGCATTGACATCTCCACGCTCACATCCGCGCGCATTCAGACAACTCACTTTCCCTGCCCTGGTTTGCGTGTCTTGAATAGACTGAATCTCGGCTGGATCTGAACTCTGCCGTTTGGATCCAAAGCCTTGACAACCTTGTGCCTTCCCACACACCGCCACTGACCGAGATGCACAAACTGCACTCACCCACTCATTCACACACACGCAGACCGCCAAAGACACAGACAGACAAACCTCATAAAAGCACATGTGTCACATCCATGTTATCTTGACAAATCTATACATCATGTCACAGCGTGGTTTGTGTGAATATTGCATTTAACTGTGTGTTATTGGTGTGTTTGTTCAGAGAGGATATGAAGGGAGCGTGTTGGCACTTCATGCGTCTGGTGTGCGATGGGACGCGGTGACAGTGAGACAGCGTTGTCCATTCTAGAGGGACCCGCTTAGGCCTCTGACAGAGCCAGCAACGCCACTGTTTGCTGCTATTGATTCCTGACCAAAGCTGTTATTGATGAGTTAGTATTTAATTCAACCAGCTCGTTTGTCATCATGACATCACCATTTAACTATGACCATGACATGGATACGAACACCCAAAGACAAGCTGGGTCACACGCACGGCAATAATTTCCACAAACACACGCACACACACACATTTTAGGGCTGATAAATATATACTTTGTCTTAAAGGCAAAAATATACATTTTCTTCAGAGAGGTTTCCTTTTCCTCTTTTCACAATTTTATAATTTTAAAAACTCATGTTCAATATCCAAACACTGTGTTTTAAATCAGTCAAATCAATCATCTTAAATAGATAACAAGAAATTATCAAGGGTGCAATAAACAATATGACTGATGGGGGTAGCCCACTTTATGACTAATGTGTAGCCTTAGGATTCTTTTGGCTCTTTGTGATTGGATAAATATTTCATGCCACCTCCCGACCAACAGCACATGACATGGAAAACATGTTGAGGGAAGTTGATTAAATTGCTTTGACTTATTTTTCCTGTAACAAACGAGAAGAAAGCAACAACCACTTCTGAAAATATGTCACAAAAATGATGTTGCACATCTGTGTGAAACAGCTGAATGTGCAAGTTTGGATCTAAATGCACAAACTGTCATATCAACATTTATACTTTTGAAATTGCAGCATAAATGTATTTAAATAATTGAATGATGAATTGTAAATTTTCATATGTGACTTTTAAATATGTGATTTATTTTTATTTGGAATTATTTGCATTTGATTGCTTCAATTAAATTATGGCAACATGTATGATTTTCAGTAACAAAGAGATATTACAGAAAGGTGTATGCAGCATGTGAAAATCAAGGAACAATATGAATTTTAAAAGCAGAAGACATATTTTGTAGAAGATAAAGATCAAAACTGTGAAAACATGACAAGTGAAAATGTAGATTTTTTGTAAATTGAGATGTAAATTTTGAAAATAGAACAGAAAGAAAAGTATGTATGCTGTGTGCAAAAGGTTTATTCAAGTATTAATTTACAAATAAAAAGGTGAGGATGGCTTTTAAGTATTTATTGGAGGAATATGTATTTGCAAAAGAAGGGAAAAATCAGTACAACTGGAGAGCAGCTAAAATACAACAATTATGCTTAATCCATTAACTTCACTGCTGGCATCCCCTTTCCAATATTTAATCCATTACTGTATGTTTGTCTGAAAAGAAAAGACGCTACATAAAAGGAAGAAAAAAAACTACACAGAGACAATTTTACAGGATCATTTTTCAATAGAGCAGTGTGAGGGTGCAGCGTTGGAAACAATGGAGCCCGATGTATATCTGTATGGATTGGAAAGCTTGATAGGGAGGGAGCCGGACAATCAGGATCATGGGCTTTCAATGAGAGCGGTCCAGCGGGGGTTTTTGGCTGCAGCGGCCCCCCAGGGGAGCCCTCCCTTCAGGTCCCCGGGGACCGAAGCTGTAGAGACCGAGCCGCTGCAGGGGCCCTATGGGCACCAAGCAAGTATCACACCGAGGGGGCCGTCTGCCGAATTTAGGTGGTCGGCTTTAGGTAGACAGATGGACAGAATATGAGTCTATGGGTGTCATCAGGTATCATAGGCTTTGTATTCAGCGTGTGTGTGTGTGTGTTTGTGTGTTGTACTTGTCAAACAGCACAAAGCTGTGTCGGACACGGCGAGGGAAAATACTTTTAATTGGCCCGAAAATCTACATTCAGCACGGGGTTGTATTTGTGACGGAGTCAGTTTGTTTCTGCCTTTAAAGTTTTTTTTTGTTGTGGTTACATCTTCTGTAAGATAATACAATCCAGTCATCATCTGGCAGTTTGCGAGGACCTGACATCCACATCGGTGTTTAGTGTGTTTCTGTATGTTTGAATACCTGGAAGACACTTTGTACGTCTTATGGAGAAAAAAGAAGAGTTTGGTAAGAAGAGTGCGTGGAGGACAAACGGGTGGATGCTGTACGTGTTAGCACCCCTCCTCCTCATCTTCCTCACCCCTCCAACACCATCTTATTTTCCCCTCCTTCAATCTCACACACCCTCCCTCCATCCCTCTCTTCCACAGACGCGCACAACCACACTACATTCTACAAGAAATAATTGCTTTTGTCTGGAAGGAGTGTAGGGAGGAGGGAAAGGGGGCGCGCATGGCTCCCTTTGTGGAGAAAAGGGGGTCTTTGAAGGACAACTAGTCACTTCTCCCTTTCCTTCATTCTTCCTCCTCTCCTCTCTTCTCTCCTCACCTGTCTTCTACCCCTGCTCTCCCATTAATACTTCTCACTCCATTCTATCAGTTTTTCTTCTTTTCCTCCTCTCCTTCCTCGCTGTTCTCAGCTCCTCCTGCCCCCTTCCCTTCCTCTTCCTCACTGGACCTGCGGATGTCATCTGTCATATGTGAAGCGGAGGGAGAAGGACAATAAAACCTGGTTGTCTACTACAGGGAATGACACATTTTTCATAATTAAGAATATGCCAGTTTAGTGTGCAGCACACATCTCTTGGCAATACGACTGTCCGTTGATGACTGATTGAATGACAAGTGCGGTGATAATGGGCAGATTATTCACTCTACGTTCAATTTCCATTAAAAAAAGGCCTAATCACCCTCCGCATTAAGCCAGCAGCCACAGACTGTCCTGCAAGGATGGAGCTCTCGGGCCCGACAGGAGCCAGAGCTTGTTCATTCCTATTGATTTGCCCGTATTGACTGTGATGTTTAAGGTATAGATTTTTCTATTTAAAAATCTATATCGACAATAATCTGGTGTGTAAGCGCCCGGCGTTGACGGATGCAGGCCTGTAATTGACAGCATGTAACATTGTCGGGGCTGGAGAGGAAGAGGGCACGGGAGTAGGGGGGCATGCTGGGGAGTCCGGCATGAGTGGCCGGGACAGAGGAATCTGGGGGGGGGGGGGGGAGGGGGGGGCGGTAAAAACTGAATGCTTGCTGGCAAATTTAGTCATTCACTTAAAATTCGTCCTTTAGCATACTTTCATCTTATCTCGATAACCCGAATATAATAAATGAGCTGCATTCTGACCGCTCCAAAAAAAGCTCCAAGTTTGTATTGCATGGGGCAGCAGTACTTTTTCTGTATCTATCACAATGACCTTCTGATCTCTGCCTTCTCTGCTCATGACTGCTTATTAAAGCAGCAGTGGTGAGCCGATTGTGTCCATCCCGACTGACCTGAACTTATTGGTATACACGGATTCCCTTATCAGGACTCTGTCCCTTCCCAGGGAGGACAGCAGTAATGCACTGATCACCATTGGCATCATTATAACCGGTATTATTAAGAAAGGGGGAGATGGGGGAGGAAGGGGGGGGTCCAGAAATCAATACAGGATACCTTTTGCAGCGGTAGTGAAAACGAGGGAGATGGTGGGGAGGCAGGGGGGAGGGATTGAGGGCTGGTGGGAGGTGCGGGGGTGGGGTGGTGATGTGTGAGTAGTAGCGGGTCCTCTCTCGCCTCAATGTTGCGGCCAGCCTAGTGGCAGATCGCTACAATCCTGGAGGGAGCCGGGTCGAATGAGCTATTGGGGTTCCCAGATAATAACGGGGACAAACAGGCAGACAAAAAAAAGACACACAGACGGATGGACGGAGATAGGCAAGTGTTCCGATAAAAAAAATAATAATAATAATAAAAAAAACGCGACACCATGATCGGATTCTAGTAGCCTACAGCCGCGCTGTCTTATTTCCGCTGTTTTGTTTTGTTTAGCTTTTTGTTTTGTTTTGTTTCTCGTTTTCCTCGTCCTCGCCGTTTGTTTTTTTATTGATTTATTTCCGGCCGTGTTTATTTATGTATCGATTGATTGCGTTTTAATTACTGCCTTGTGACAGGGGGCGAGGGAGGAGGAGCGTCAGGGCCAAGCGCGCGTTGCCTTTCCCGTTTGTTTGTGTCCGGCCAGGACACAACCTCCCCTCCACTTTTTTTTGTTGTTGTTGTATTCATCACCTGGCGAAAACGCTTTTAATGAAGCTGTTTTACGTGCGCTCGCCACGCGATCCGCAGCTTTGCGCTCGCAGATGAATGTAGACGTAGCCCTCGTGCAGAAGGAAAAGAGGGAGCGCGTGCAGCTTCGGACCAAATACACTAGAATAAACCAAATATCAGGCAACCGAAACCCAAATAAGATTGTCTAACTCAGCTTTCTTCTCGGTTGCTCCGTCCTAACTGAAGCTGTTTTAAACTGCAAAGCGAATACCAAAGCTCAGCCCGGCTGGGGATGCCACAGGAATAGGCTGGCGACTGTTCTCATGCCTTTTTCACACCTACAGGAAACAAAAAAAACTGCTGTGGAGTGAGAGGATAAAATAAGCTCCGGGGCCTCTATGTTTACTCAAGGAGGAAGCTGTATCGGTGCAAAGGTGCCAGATTCGCAGGTGCACCAACGGCAGGCAGCTGCCCCTTATCGCCACGCTCCGGCAGGCCTGCAGTTCTAACACAATTGCAACACAACTTTTTTTTTTTCTCGTGCAAGTGAGTTCGGCTCTCCTCTCGATCCGTCTGTGTGTTTGTCTGGACTGTGAGCTGACCCGCGGCGCTCAGGGGGACCAGCCTGCGTCTACCTTCTATGCACATTTAGGCTACACACCAAAACTAATGCCGACCGCCAGTCGACAGCCACAACTCTAAATAATAAAAAAAAAAAAAGAAAAAAAAGAAGTGCGCAGCGGGGGGCTACATGTGTACACACCTAACGGCGCACGCTGTAAGCTCTGCAAGCCGAACACACTTCCCCAAAAAGCGCTCCGTCAGAGAAGCGGACGAGGACGCGGCGGCTCCCGGGGAGGACGACACATTACTCGTATCAAGAAAAGAGCAGGAGGAGGAGGAAAGATCATGTTTGTTCCCTTGCCGGTGCCGTTCGTGTTTCAGAGAGCTGCCCCTGACCTCAACGCCTGGCGTCTCAAGTCCCCCCTGGCTCTGCGCTCCAACTCCGGTAAGACCCCGTCTCCCTCGTCCCGGCTACACCTCCTCCATGCCGGCCAGCCTCGCAGACCCACCCCGCCTCGCTCTGTGCCGATGCACTTGCAGCGGGGAGCGCCGTCTGCACCCCCCCCCCCCCCCCCTCCACTTCCACACGCACATACACACACGTACACACACACACGTACACACTCTTCGCTTCCTTTTAGAGGACATAAGCAGTCTTGGGCTCTTTGGGAGCTTGTTAAAACCCGAGAAGCATTTCCGAGAGCTTAAGAGTGTCCAAAATGAAGGAAGTGAATGCCACGAAACGCCTTCTGTTGTTTTTTTTGCGGTCCAGTCAGAGACCATGTGCTGCTCTCTCCGTCGCTGTGTCGGTTTTATCCCCTCTCTCCTGATACGTCTTCCTTTTTCTCCGGGTGTTTTTTGCTCTCCGGGCTGCGTCCCCGTCCTTCCCTTCCTCTCCACTGCCTGCGCCTGAGCCTCAGCCTCCGACTCTCCCCAACTAGACTCTCGGCAGGCAGGGAATATTCATGCCAACTTATCGATCCTGCGGAGATCGATTCCTGGGCCGGTGGAGGCAGTGAGAGGGGGAGACAGAAGGAGAGACCAGGCGCACGGAGGAGTGCGACCATACGGAGGGAGATGGAGGGGGGAAATGGCACTTTTTTGCTCGTTTTATGCCAAATGCTTGTGTTTGTCAGTGACTCGCTGTGCTACTTTCTCCGCTCTTATTCCGACTTGCATGCAGGTTGAATGTCGCTGCACCCATTTTGTGTGTGTGTGTGCGTGTATGTGTGCGTAAAAACCTCCGTAAGTGTGTGCTTGTAGTGACTGCGTCTGTCTGTCCTGTTGCCTGGCTGCTGCACGGTTGGAAGCAGACTCGTAGAAGGGAGTGAGGAGAGGGTGGGTGGGGGTGAGGGTGGGTGGAGGGGGATTGGAGCTGTGGCGCCGTCTGCGTTTCATCCGCGCTGAGGTGGAAGAAAAGGACGCATGGTGGGAGCAGCCAGGCCGGCTTCAGCGTGTCACTGGCTGTCATTGTCAGGAAGCCTCAGCTCCGTCCTGCCCTGCATGTGTCTCTGACATGCAACAGCTGCATGGCACTTTAGCCCCTTGACATCTTTCTGTCCTGTATGGTCACGCAAAAGGGAAATAATGATTTGAAAATAAGTCCATTTGAGTGTGTCTCTGATTAGGGTATTAATTAATGCACATGTAAACAGATATTGGCAATATATGTTATGTGTAAATATACATACATACACACACACACACACACATATATATATATATATATATATATATGTGTGTGTGTGTGTATAGGGGGTGTGTGTCTTTTTATAGGGCCGGCCTCCTGTGCCCCCCAGTGCATAACATTGCTCATTTCTCATATCCAGTTCAGCTTGAGCCCATTTAATTCCAGAAACACCCGGCTTCACCCTTTATCCACGTACTCAGTCAACAGTGCACAGCGTATGAAAGTGAGAGGACAGGTGATAGAAAGAGGAGAGAAAAAAAAATTCTCGGGTTGAAAGATACCTGTTACCTGCCATATCTCCCGAGAGGAGAGGGCAGAGACGTTGAAAAAGGAGGATGAGGCGGCGGCGCGGGGGCCGGGGAGGAGGAGTCTTCCCTGAAAAATGGCGAATGTCAGAGTAAGATAAAAAAAAATGTGGAAAGAGTGAGCAAGAGAGGAGGGAAAGGGGGTGAACGTAAGAGCGGGTGACAGGGTGAAAAACGAGGAGGGAGAGGAAAACCCAGTTTGAGCCTGAGAGGTGAGAGCAAAGCGTGGATGAGCCATTACGCTGCGGCGTCCCGGGCCGGGGCCGCCGTCTGAATAAGCAGGCAGACCGAAGCGGCGTGCACACGGGCTGAATTCCTTAGATGGCGGGATAAACGCTGCTCACGGCCCTCTGCTGATTTTCCTCCCTTTTGATAACGTTGTACAACACGCCGCCCTTCGCAAAATCATCAGCGCCGGGTCACTTCAGCAGTCTGAGGACCGAAACGGGGCCGAGCTGTTGGTTTTTGCATGGAGTGAATCATTTTCGAACAACAACTTGGCGCCCGCTCCTGCAGGTTGCCCTGCAGCTCAGAGGGATGCTCTCCCGAGCGTCGGGGGGGGGGGGGGCTCACACAGACTGCCCACATTTCCCGTGCAGTGCCGGGGCTCTTGACTGGAGCACTCAGTTAACTCGTCCCTTTGACTGGTGGCAACTACTTGACTCCTCTGCGTTGGAGCTTTGTGTGGGGTCAGAGGTCACTGCAGGAGTGTTCGACTCAGCCCCACCTGACCTTTCCCCCGCCCCCCCCCCCCTGTGTTTTCTTTTTCTTTCAAGTTACAACAGGCCTCAAGCACTCACGCACACCACCCCCTGTCAGGGTTTTACACACACACTGTCATGAAACAGCCGGCCCATCATCTACGGTGTCATAAAACAAGCATGTTAGGGTGTTTTCCACCTGGATAGTGAGCTGCTGTAACCGATGCAGGTTTTGTTCCATTTTTAATGCCATTGTGTCTGTGAGGGTACAGGTCAGTGGCACTGCTGTGTGAACTATTTGTGTGTGTGTGTGTGTGTGTTCGGTTGGTAAAGTGCTTTGTGAAGCCATCAGCATTAACTGACGTATGAAAGTTTAATGGGACATAGACGAGAAACCGCAGGTTTCCCACACAGCGCAGGGCTCGATATGATATGATATGATGGCACATCAAGGAGACTTGAGACTGCCTTTCTCTTTCTTCTTTTTTTTTCTCACACTTACTTACACACACACGCACACACCTAGATTTAGTTCATCTCATCTATGCACCTTCTGTCACACGCCATTAACCAGCGTATAGTCTGACTTTCTCTGTCACACACACACACAGCCACAAACACTCAGACACACCTCAGCTTTTAAACACTCATACTTTGCTTTCTTTATGTCCCTGCAATTCAGACATTTTAACACTTAACCATACAACTAACAATGCGTGTTTTCCTCAAAACACACACCGACCTTATACTGTAGGGACAATGTGATGATTACAGTTTCACACAGTGTATTCCAATAAAACGCCTGATGTGCGCCCATTAATCAACTCGCCCGCTGTTCTGTTTATGCGCTTCTTGCTGACTTTTAAGGCATTTCTGTCACGTTCAGGGGGCAGTGGCACACGCCTCTTTAATTGCTACATGATGTAAGTGCATGCACATGCTCACCCATTTGCTCTGCATGTGTGACAAACAGTGAGTGAGTGTGTGTGTGCTCACCAGCATGAACATGTGTGTAAACTGGTGTGTGTGCGTATGGATTGGTTTGCGGAGGGGAGCGTGCAAGTTGCAGTGTTAACATGATTGCAAATGACAAAATGTCAACCTGGGTTTGTTAGCAACATAATGGGGAATCAATAGACACGAGAAAGATGTCAATACTACATGCTTTATTGCATTAAGCTACCTCTCTCCTTCTCTGGAGCTCTCTCTCCCCTCTTCTCTTCCCTCTCCTTCCTACTCTCTGCTCTCTCTGTCACAATACGAATCCTTTTCACTGCCTCTGCTCTGCTCTCCCAGTGGTAGCAGAATTAGATTGCAGCGTATAAGCCAGCCACGCAGTCCTGCATGTAGCAGGATGAAGCCTTGGGAGCTAATGGGCTATCAGTTTGTGTATTTACGTTTGGAAGGCCCATGCAGATGCTCCCAACAGAATCTGATAATGTGGCATGACTCAAAGAAGACACAGCAGTCTTAAGAAATTATGTGTTCATGTAATTAATTAACCATAAGACCCATCATTGGGTGTAATTCTGGGAAAATGAAAGCCGTGCTATAAAATAATACGGGCATTTAATCACACCCACTCTGAATAAGATGAGACTATCCGTAAAACACATATTGGAAATTGAGCGTGTTATATGGTTGGGATTAATCCAACCGAATCCACTCTGTAAATGCATAATGATAACATTAGCACTGGTGTATTATTTGTGTTAAAGCAGGGTTTTAGAATTCCCTTTAATCCTATTAACTGTTTACCTTTTTATTGGATTTGCGCAGGTGTGCGTGTGCGGCTGTTGGCTGGCGGGTTTTTCAGTGTGGATACGTGCGCTGTGTGTTAGTGGAGACTAATGTAGTATTAATGCTGATGAGGTCCCACAGCTCATTAGCAGCAGTGAGTGGTACTGAGTTTCTCCAGGGGAACAGGGGGGAATAAGACACACATGTACATTTTATCCTCAGCTTCATCAACCCTTTCCACGCTCACATAAATGCACACATCAAAACACATTAACTCATGCACTGTCCCCAAGAAAGTGACCTTTACAGGCCTGCTTTTAAATGTGCGTACGCCAAGAAAGACACTTTGAAGTAGACGCAGCGGGACGCGGCGAGAAAATCACTGAAAGCCTTGATGATCTGTATATGCGGGCATCCTGTTAGTTTTATATTTGTTCACAGAGTTGGCGCAGACACACCGGTGGATGCGCCAATATTTTTTTGTGCGGCCGGTCTCTCGGCCCAATGAAATATGTCTCGGCATTAGTCCTGATCAGGTGCCGGCCAAGCAGGCCACTTCATCAGGCCCAGGGACCTTAATTACCAGGGGAGCACGCACAGGGGGATATTTGGACTGTGTGTGGCATGTGTGCATTTAATCAACACATCAGCAGGGGTAAACACATACAAACCTCCCGGCTCCATCCTAGATATTGATTTATACTTCCGTCCGTGGTTGTAGTTGCCTCTCCTTATCTCTCCTTTAGTAACATACAGATGATGCGCATGCAGAAAGCTCAAGAAAGACCTGACCTCTACGTGGGGGACATCCAGCTCCCAGAGTGTGTGGATGCTTAGTCAGTGGTGGACCGGCTATGATGAAGAGTTGAGTGGGCATCTCCACATGCTGCCAATCACCCACAGCAAACTTTCAAGCAGTTAAAGAGGGCTGTGGAACACCCGCTGACTATATTGAGCCTTTTATTAGCTGAGTTCAGTGATTTTTCTCCTGAAATTACCTGATTTAATC